CATTAAAAAAAAAAAAAAAAAGATTCCCAGTGCACTATAGTTTGGCTAAAGAGACATTAGAGCAGTAGCTACCTGGTCTGAGGTGGTATCTGTTTGCTGAAACCTTGAATGAAGCATTAATTCAAATAGATGTCAGTCTGATAAATCATCCACCTATGTTAATAAATGTATGGTTAGGCTATTGAGGTTTGTGAACACCAGGCTTCGTACAAGAGGTTGTAAATTGATTAAAGAAAAAAAAAATATTGCCTCAGTGAGCAGTGATGGGAAGTAGGTAAGCCACATTTTCAGACATTTGAATGAGTCCCCTTCCACCTCAAACTGGTGTGTGCATTTTCAATATTAATGCATAAGGCCTTTACATATTTTAAAGACCTGTAATGGAGTATTTGTCTAAACAAAAACATTTTTTTAAAACAGATACACCATGGAAAACACCAGAACAAGGAAGAGATGCAGAGCCATATCAACGGTAGAAAATGCTGATCCCTACAAGCACAAACAGCTTTTCACATGTGAAGAGACTGCAAAACCAATATTCTTCTCTTCAAAATTTTGCAAACATCTGCGTACAAATACTTATAAAGTGCAATAAACATTAAATCACAAAGGCATTGGTTGGCCTTTACCTTTTTCAGTTTAGGGTCCTTGGTTGTGGTGTTAGGGCAGTACTAGCAGGGATGCACAGGCCTGTTGCAGCTTTCGTTATAGCAGTCTGCATGAAGGGTAAACAGACATAAAATCAGTTTCTGTTTTTAGGTCTACATTAAATATAGTGTTCAATAAAATATGGTTGTGCACATACACCCTTTTATTTAAAACAATATCACACAAACCATTCTAGTTCTGGCACAATGTCCAACCCAATCTTCTTTCATTTTCAAGTACATTCCAGTATGATTTTTAACACTTCTTTCTGACTGCCCAGTAATGATCATTGAATCGGGTCTGTAAAAGAAAATGCTGGCTTTTGCAAAAAAAAAAAAATATATATATATAATGGAATATTAAAATATCTATAGCACAGTATAGATTGATTAGCAAATAAAAGAAACAAAACATTACTTTTCTTTCAAAACAGATTAGGACATTCATTCAGTTCTGTGATAATATATTACCTTTTTAAAATTACATCAATAACCATTCCATCCCTGGTGCCAATATACCAAGTTCACACTTCACACAGGCCTTGCTTCTCTAGGAAGAATGCGCATTCCAGGATGCAGATTAACTACTACGAGAGATGATGCAATTTGCCAATGCCAGCAAAACCTTGTTAAAAACTACATTTCGACAGTGCATGCCTGTCACCTCCTGGATCTATTATACTGGATCTGAGCTCTGTTCGATTGCCACTAAACCTACATTTTTAGCAAACAGCTTGCTACTTATTTGCACCCACAGAGACCAGAAAGAAGGAGAGAGAAGGTGGGAGCATGACATCAGTCACCCATATCAGGGCCCAAAGCCTCTACAGCCTCAAGTCTCCTCTAGAGTATGGCTTCCTATGACTGGGTCTCAGAGGGTTCCCCCTAAGCCTTTCAAACTCAGAGAGGCCTATTGATGGCCAAATGTCGGTTGACCTTTTAAAGATTTATTCAAAATTATATTAAAAAAGTGAAATATCAGCCCTGGTTGAATTCAGGAAATTGGGCAACACAATACTAAAAAACATGAATGAAGTTCTCAACACCTTAAAAGCAGATCAACTTAGTCTGTTTTGTCCAAAAGTGAGGCCCTAGCAGCTAAAGTCAAAGATTTGGGAAAGAGATAGAGATGAATGAATTTTGGAATCCAGGGGCTGCTGAAATCTATCTAAAGCATTTAAAGGAGAATTATGGGGTGAGTGAAAAACACTCACCCCCATAATTCATACTGACCTTTGACAAAGAAGCTGTCACAGGTCGGCTCTATTGAAGTAAGCAAACACACACTGCTGATTGCTGACTTCCCTATCCTCTCGCTGCAGAGAGCAGTGACTGTCAGTCACACACCGCTCCCCACAGGGATTCCCCCCCCTCCATTTCTCCAGCACTGACTGGTGGAACAGATGGGGAGGGGGGGCACAGCTGTCTCTGCCTCTAGAGAGGCAATCAGCCAGCGGGTGGATCTCAACAGTATTGTCGGGAACCATCCTCGCTGTGGATGGGCCCTGCAGTTTCAGTATATGCTGAGTTTTGTGTCACCGGAGGACACAGTATATGTCTTCCTGTGACCCTATAGAGAACAATGGGCTGGCTGAGGGACATCTGTGGTACAGTGATGACTGTTTCTGAGGATGTGAGGGGGATGGGGTATCTGCGGGGTGGAGGTTGTGTCATCATATTATCAGATCTGTTTGGCGGGCACAATGCTGATTGGCTTGGAAGCCGGCTTCCTGGGCAATCAAGAAGCCGGGCGGTGTGTAATGACACACTTCCCAGCTTCCTGATTGGCCAGGAAGCTGGCTCCATGCTACCGTAAGTACCGGTAATCTGTATAGGCGAGTACTGAAAAATATAACTATCGGTACTCTTACTCCATACCGAAAAAAAAGTATCGGTGCATCCCTAATTATTATGATGAAGCGCACCCTTACAATACTTCAATTAAAAAAATTGTCAAAACTACACTCTTCACACTATGACAATAAAAGAAAGTAACAAATAATCACCAAAAAATGTGTATCAAATTAGGTTTGTATCAAATAAAAACAATAAAAAACAAAAGTCCAGATAATACAAAGTCTCTGGCTCCTTGTGTACAGAGAACTCACCAGAATGAATTGACTTCTTTATTATGAAAAGGTCAAACAGCGCTTGTCAGTAATCCTGGTAAACCTCAAGTTCTTGTCCGCCTCTAACAGACATGTCAGATAGTGTAGATCTTGGTTCGATATAAATCTGCAGTGCCTTATCATCTCCTACGAATCTTCCATTCTCAGACAAATGCCATATAAAAAAACTCCAATAGTGTAATACAGCTATAAAACTATAATGGTACAAACAGAATACCCACATCCCCTATTGCTAGAGTGCACTCGTTTACAATTGATTTGCAATGTAGATTATTCTGCCCTCTGTTGTCTCACACCCACTCTAACTATTAGCTAGCCAAACAGTACTCCTGAGCCAGCTGGGAATCAGGGCATGTGTTTAGGCTCCTTCCCAACGCAATTTGTCAATCAGACTTTATCAAGGGGGGCTTTATAAAGTCTAATTGATGAAATATATAATTTGCATAAATATACTATTTTTATACACTTTTTTGGGATCGTCACTGTTTTTTTTATTGTTACAGTGTTTCAAGAGGGTAAAATTTATGAAATTATACATTTGTTCACAGTATATACACAATATTTAGTTGACTGGAGTATTGAAAGGGTGTGTTACATCATATATATATATTTATTTTTTTACCTGGGGCATCCTGGCAGCACTCAATGGGTTAAGCTCTGCTACTTAACCCCACAGAACACGTATTGAAAAAATGTGGTCCCCTTCAGCCACAGTTTTCTTTTGTCCTTGCCATGGAAAGGTGGATATTATGGAACTTTTTTTTTTTTTTACCCTTATTCTCCTGTGGCATCACAAACAAGGTCAGTCTCCCATGTACTGAAGATTCTGCCTTTATGCTTTTAAACAAAGGTATCCCCCAGGATATACCCCCTGTATGGTGTCTGGGCCAATGCCATAGGAGTAAAGCTCCTGGCAAAGATTATTGTGGCATGTCTGACAATGGCTTTCATAATACCTCTGGGAGTCTTTCTTTCCATGTGCTCATAGTTCCACCTCTTCTTAATGGCATGTGCCCGCTCCTGACCCAGCTTTATTACATTCTGAGCAACTTCAACTCAATCTTCTCTAATTTAGATTTCCAAAGAGTGGCCTCTACCCCCCAAGAGGTGGATTGGAACATGTAGGTATGCATTTGGCAGCAAACAACTTCACTGAATGAGAGTGAAGTTGTTTGCTGCCAAATGCATACCTACATGTTCCAATCCATCCAAGATTTCAGAAATGTCTCAGAAATGTCTATGTATTGCAATCATGGGATTACACTTTAATTTTTTATGTCCCCCATTTGGCATCTCAACAGCACTCACGACATTCAAAAAGGTTCTTCTTCCACTGGTAGCACATATCAGACAACAGGGTGTATGAATCAATCATTACTTAGACACAATTCTACTTTTAGCCAAAAATTGTGAAACACTCTGGGCATACCAAGCTGTCTTAGTTGCAACACTTCAAGAGTTTAGATGGCTAGTCAATTACAAGAAGTCCAACCTGATCCTATCCAGCGCCTACTACTTTTGGGAGCTCTTCAACATACGACCAAAAACTCAATTCAGCTTCCTCGAAAAAAGATGAACACCATGCAAGTCAAAGTGTAAAACGCAATATTATCACAATGGATGTGGGCACACAGGTGCCTGGGTCTCCTGGGAACACTACCAATAAATAGTTGGGCTCATTGGAGGATGAGAGTCTTTCAGTTCGGATTCCTCAGCCAATGGAACAAGAAAAGCCTTCAGCAGAAAATCATTATTATCTGTCCCTTTGGTGGTGGATGCACAAGATAAATTTACTAACGTACCACCACATCTTCCTGGACAAATCTGTGATAATTACCTCAGATGCCAGCCACTCGGGTTGGGGAGCACACTTAAAAGAACATGCATCCCAGGTAGAATGGGCTTTTCAATCACATGGGTTTACATCCAACGTTCTAGAAATCAGGGCGGCCTTGAGGCACTACAGGCCTTTGCTCCTTTAGTCTAGAGACGATCCGTTCAACTAATGACAACAAACCAGCGGTAGCCTATGTATGGAAGCAAGGAGGGACATGCAATCTTTCAATGTTGTAAGAGCTCGCACCAATAATGACTTGGGCCCAATCGCAGCTAAAGAATTTTACAACAATCTATCTCCCAGGAGAGCAGCACAGCCTTGCTGAAATACTGATTCGTACAATGTTAGACAAGCACGAATGGAATAGCGCTGAATACAGAAATATACAATTAAAGGGTTAGTAAACCCTCCGGTTTTTTTTGCATATTTCTACTGCTAGCAAGCAGTAGATATGCAAAAAAAAATTTTTTTTAAAAACGCTTTAAAAGAGGTTAAAACTTACTTGTGTCTTCGCCGCGCGCTCCTATCCGAAAATCTGAAAAATCTCGGGACCTTGGGGCGGGCGCATGTGCAGTTCAGATTTTCGGCCGGAAGACGAGGAGAGACACAAGGTGAGTCTATAGACAGCGTGCACCTGCATGTGGACTCCATGGGACAGAAAGTGCCAGCAAGCACCGAGGAGTCAGAGCTGGATCGAAGACCTGCAGCAGCACTGGAGGGACACCTGAAAACGACAGGAAACAAGATTGGATTAAGAGACATCATTTAAAGTAAGTGCTTACACTAACATTGGGGAAGGGGGAAAAAAATTATACTATAATGTCACTTTTAATTGCAGATTTGCAGGGTTACCCACAAAAGACCTCCTTGCAACTGCAGAGAATACAAAATCCCAAGACATTGTGGCCTGTTACAGATGCCCTCAGGAATACTCTGACCTTTCCATGGACGTTCAGTCTGGGATAAGTCTTT